AGTGTAATACACTGTTTAGGCTTCTTTATTCGTTAAACAAATAAACACAAGCCTGGTCTCATGAAATCAAACAAGGCTTACTCGACAAAGGAAATGATCCACCATATTTCTTTCTGTAGCGTTCAGTGATTATCGGAAACAAGCGTTTGCGGTAATACGTCTTGTATTCTTTCAGTCGATTAATTGCGTCCTAAAAACAGATAAATTTAAAAGGTAGTAAACTATAAGAATGAGATTTTTGACTTCGAAGGATCCTTGTGTTTTTTCACTTTGAAATATAAAAAAAAAAGACTACAAAGACGTGATTTTTAACTTGCAAACTTCAGTCACAGACTTAAGAAAAGTAAATTTAGTATCAAACCTACTAGAAATGATTAGGGAATGAAACGTAAATGATAAACAAATATAAAATCAAAAAAATTAAGTTTCTTATTACCTCTTGTCGAGAGTCACCGTTAAATTCGCAGTACAATAGATCAATTGGAACAGAGAGCAGGTTAAACGGCACAACGATGGAATGTAGATTTCTGTACTGGTTTTCAACAACGGCACGTGCAAATTTCCATTCGACTTCTGAATTAGTCTGTAAATAACAAAGGAAATTATTTAATTAACATTGCTTAGTAATTTCTTTTTCCATTTGATGTTGCAGCAGTCTGAGAGAATATCGGTTCAGCAATTTTGCAATTTTGCGTTTTGTATGTGTAATGATTTTACTATTGTCAGCTCCAAGGATTATGTCGATGCTATACAGGTATACATGTAGCTTAGTACAGTGGAAAAGCGTACTGTATATAGAGGCAAGAAGATATCCATGGATGAATTTTATATTCAAGTAGCCAAAACAATACTCCACGAGCAATATATTGTTTTTGGTATTTTCTTTTCAATATGTAGCCAAAAACTACAGAAGCGAATCGAAAACAGAAACCGTATGTGAATTACAGCTCGGCGACTGGAATATCTTGAATATCTCTCCTTTGGTTACTTGAAAATACTCCTTGAGTACCTTTCAGCCACATGAATTTTCTTTCTTGATTTGGCGTTTTTGGTACTTTTTGGCATTTTCGTACTCCTTAGTGAACGATTTCATGCCGACTTCAGTGAATTTAACTTCCCTATCAGTCGCGAGCGCCATCTTTCAATCGGCGCTTAATTTGCAAAGTTTGGCAGCTGCGCAATGTAATGCCACGAAATGACTTCATTGATATCGTCACTAGTAAGGATATGGAAAATACGCCACTGCGGTTCAAGATGTAAATTCGTATGAATTTTACAGGTGGTGTACATTTCCAGTAAAACACTCGTATGTATATAATAATAATAACAGGAAATTATCGTTGCTATGAGTCGATCCTACCTTGATATTGTCGTATGTGTGGTTGAGTAAAGCCACTANAGCAAAATCTCAAACCTTATGACTTCACATATTCACGTATTTTTAATATGAAGAGAGGTTCTCTTCATGCAAAAAGTTTCAGGCGTATAAACCTTACTGCTTTTAGATACAGATTAATTAAAAATGGCTTTCGGGCCCCTGATTTCGTTTGCACTGATTTAAGCTGCGGAGGCATGGGACTAGACAGAAGACGAAATCTGTAAAGAAAACTTGGCATCTGCACTCTTGATATTGCTGTTTCCTGGTAAATGAAAAACGACCGCAGGAGGATCGTCGGTTGGGTCCTCAAAACCTTCTTGCTTGTATTCATCCTGTATTAGACAATAAAAAAAGACTAAATTCACTCCCATCATTGAAAATGTCGCTTTCCTTCTAGTTTCGTGGACCTACGACTTTAGTTTTCTATATTGAATGTTCCGAAAGAACTTCCGCCATTAACAAACAACATTGAAATTTATTTGCAAGTCTATCTCCAACTCCTTTTATCCAAGGTTTTGCCGAAAAGATTGATTCATGAAAATCGAACATAGCCTTATTCGCAGAGAAAAGTGTTGGCAGGGGAAACACAAAATGCCTCTCTTTCTCCCTCTTAGCGTCTCTATGTGATTTCTCAACAAAACTACTCATTAATATGTTTAGTCCAATTCTACTCTTATACTAATGCAAAGGCTGCAATCTTATTGGATGAACTAGCGTACACTATGAGCGATTAGTGTGTAGTGTAGTGGCCATGGATTTTCTGGTTTTTCGGAAGAACATTTAGAAACAAATGGACAATTAAGTTACGTTACAATCTTAGATCATTTTAGCATTCTTTTTTTGAATTACAGTCGAACCTCCTGTAAGCGACCATCCAAAATGTTAAGCCTAGGCGGTCGCTTATGGGAGGTGGTCGCTTACCAGAGCTTGGACCATATTGGGTCAAAATTTTGCCTCATTTGCATATGATAACTGCAGAGACTTTCCACATGCTTTAAAGAAATTTCTTTCTCGTGCACTAACCAGGAATGAGATAATGTTACAAAACCTTATCATCCAATTTCTGCTTTTTTATCTGTCAAATGGTCGATTACGAGAGGTTAAAAGCAAAAGAAAGTTTCAAACTTTTAGCTCTCAAAGTGGTCGTGGTCGCTCGCGAGAGGTGGTCGCTTTCAAGAGGTTCCAAATGCAGGGATTTTACTTGGAAACGTTTGGTAACTTGGAAAACTGGTCGCTGAGGAGAGGTGGTCGCTAACAGAGGCTTGACCGTAGTTTTAATTACCTTCAAATCAGTCTTGGTGGCTCTCTGACAACGACCCAAGATGGCGGCGCGATCATGACGTAACTCTTATTTTTAATTACGTCAATGTGTAATGTTGCTGACCTCAAAAGAACTTTTTCATCGCACTATAATGGGGTTAGAGGTCCTGAGATTGCATTATCACTCCTTACTCGGTGGTAAGAGAACAAACAAGCCTATGTGTAAGTAGATAAAAGTACAATACCGAGCAATTTTGCCTTTGAAGAAAGGTAGTCAATGACGTTTCATGATTGAAACGTCACATTGAGGACTGACCTGCATAGCTGCGACGCTCTCGTCGCAGTGCGAGATTTTCAACTTGTCCATTATCAAGTCGATCTTTTCTTCAACTGAAGCACAACATCAATACATATACCAAAATCAGTGTTTGGTTTATTAAATTACAAAATATTAAAAGGATAAAGTTGGAAACTTGTACAATAAGAACACTTTACAGCTTTTCAAAATTTCACAAGAGCTTAAAACTCTTTGTTTTCACTCACATTTGGATAAACGCGTTTTTATTGAAATGATGCTATCAATAATAACTAAATGAAAGTATGATTTTGAATGCTCTTCCAGTCTCTATCTTTTAGACATCGAGGCGACACTTAGAACACACAACGTTTTGACAACAATTGCGCAGCTGAACCTGCTTATATCATTAGCAACATTCACTTACCGGACAAAGGAAATGATCCACCGTATTTCGTGAGATAACGTTCGGTGAGCAATGGAAACAAGCGATCGCGATAAAAGTTCTTGTACTGATTCCGACGGTTTTCTGCGTCCTGCCAACGTAAAAGTCCAAATGTAATAAATTAGAAGGTTTTGCAATTGAAATTCATTAGTTCTTTTCTTACCAAGCGATTCTCAATCGCGCAATTTATACTTTCAGTATCACTTAGCACGAATTTCCCACATGATTTCGTTTCCCTGCTAACAGGGCTCCAAGTCAATGCAGAAACAGATGATTCGCATGTATTATAAGGGTAATGAAAAACGATCGTTTTTGAGTTGTTTACTAATAGCTTCGGCCTCAATTGTTTTAGTTTATGTTATAAAAATTACGACAACGCAATTTCAGATTTGCTGTGTATCTTAAAGGAGATTTCCTGGTACTACGAACTTCTTGAAAGGAAATGAACGAATAAAAGAACATGATACTCAAAAGGTCGCAATCCATCAAACTTGAGACAATATAAACGAATTGAAGGTAAATGTTGAACATCAGAGAATTCAACATACATATCACTTTTGTTGTTGCTTTTAGGTCGTTTACCTCCTCCCGAGGGTTACCCATCGCATTGAAGTAACACAATGTAACTGGAACGGACAGCAGGTTGAACGGTACAACGATGCAATGTAAATTCCTGTACTGATTTTCAACAACGGCACGTGCAAATTTCCATTCGACTTCTGCATTGGTCTAAAAGAAATTAAGGGATTAATGAACAAGTGGTTGAGATACCAATACTTGGCGACTGTCCTCGTTCTTTCATTTGATGAATTTATGACTCCATCTTGCGTTTGTTGATGATAGAACTATGTGATTAATCTAATTAAAAGTAATGAAAGCAGATTTTATTTTACATTTTATTTTGATCTTTATTAGACGCAACAGGTCGCAACAGTGTCCTATACAAACTCCCTAAAAAAACTTTTAAAACGCGCCCTCAGTAGCTCCCTATTTTTAGCATTAAATACTGAACAACTTCAAATTCAAGTTCAAATTCAAATTCAAATTCCGGAGAAGTTTTTCACTAGACCACCAAATGTGCATGCACTCAGATTGAATGGCATTTGAATTTCCCTAATAAATACGGAAAGAGTGAATGATTTCTTAGGCCTTAGGCCAGCACTTTACTGGCCCCTGGGTCGTAATTTCTGTTGTTAAGGGTTTCTCCGTGTTTCAGCTGTACAAGTGCAATCAGAAAATGAAACGTTATTTTTAAATGGTTTATCTCACCTTGACATTGTCGTAAGTGTTTGACAGTAGAGCTACCAGCATGTTGACCAGCATGATAACCGACAAAATGAGGAATGCCAAGAATAAAGTCAGAACAACCTTGGTGGCAGAGCTGGTATGGGAGCGCATATCGCCCAGGCCTGTTAGGCCAAACACAGACCAGATTAGGCTCCCAGATGTCTTAAACAAGCTAAAAAAAAGAGAACAAAGTTCGATTTCCTTACCTATCCTATCTGCTAAGGTATTTCCATTGCATAACTTGGCGGTCAAAGGTACTTTCAACAACGACAATAGCAGATGACGATTTAAGTATCATGTAAATCGTGCCAACATTGCGATGGAGGTAGACAGTACATATTTTAGAAGTTACCAAACAACTCAATTTAAACTGACTTTTTAAAATGCAAGAGTTAGGAGTACTTCGCCACTGATAACAAGCCTTGCTTCTCGTTTTATCACGCCTTAAAGTATTTGTTTTCCTTGGTTACGCAGTATGAGGTACAAGTGCCATTTTTAGCAGCAGAGTTTCCGACTCTGATTATCCAATCGCTAAGTGAATTGAGTACCCATCCGTACTCCGAAAACAGTAAAACCGAGTCACTCCAGAGAGGAGCAAAGAGAATATGCGGGATGAGGCATGTTGTGCCGTAACTACTAGGACAAAAATCGGGAGCGTAGTAAAACCAAAGCAATTGCCCAATTACTTTCTAGACTCACTCTATTCCTCTAGGTAACTCATAATTACAAAACGAGTATGTCACAGGATGTTGCACTACTCACCATTCAAGTGCTCCATGTTCACAATACCTGAACGGAAACGAAATGACAGAAAACGTGTTAAGAGTGCAGATGGGGTTAACCCTTAACGTGTAAGTACGCGGTTCGTAATACAATTTCTGACGTTCTTTCATAAGTTCGAAGTGTTCCGACGGTCTTTAACAATAACCAGAGATTGCGACAGATATTCCAAATTTCTCAGTCTTAACCTAACATGCACTCTCATAAGATATATGGGTTATTGACCGAGTGTGAGGTCAAGATGGCTGGACATTGGCCAAGTTCTTTTTTTTTTGCGTGTTTATGGACTGAGACGGAGTCGAGGTCCATGAACACGCAAAAAAAAGAACGAGGTCAATATCCAGCCATCTTGACCGAACAAGCTTGGTCAATAAAGGATTTATTATATGGCTTTCGGAGAATTTCTCTTGCGGGACACGGCGGGTAGTCCCGAGCGGGCAAGATAGATTCATCTTGCCCGCTCGGGTAGCCAATCACAGCGCAGGATTTGATTCATCTTGCCCGCTCACGGAGCTAGCCTTATAATAAATATCAATTCAGGTCAACACGAACCACTTCCAAACATCTATATCGCAAAATGTCCGAGACTTTTCCAACAAAAGCCGCTATGCGGAGAGTGTAATTTTTCTTTCATTATTTCCAATTTATATCCTTAGGTAGCTCGAAGAAAGTAGCAGCAATGCTACTCTGTAAATTCGAGGTTATATAAAATTTACTGATGATAATGATGATGATGATGATGATGAATCCGAAAAGAGAACAAAGCATTCACTCACGAGTGATATTCTGCCTGGTATTCTGTTTGATTATGTGTTGGAGTCAAGTATGACATCTCTGCTGTGTAAATCTTTGTTATGGCCAACGAGAATGCCGCGATGACGAAACCAAACTGCAGGAGGATGATTAGCAAATCGACAAACATCCGAAATAAAGCCAGCTGCAACGGTCCGACAACAGCGCTAACCGCCAGGAGGCTGGAGAGGCGCATTACCAGTAGCAGTGTGTTTACACCGTAAAGGCGGTTCGTCACTTCCAACAAACTATTGTGGTAAGGGTCACCGCCACGGACTATGGTCACTATTCGGAGGAAGATGATCCCGATATAGACAAAAAGTGTTAAAACGTCCACGTAATTCCACATGTCCCTGCAAACGAGCATGAAGTCACAATTTCAAGAAATAAATCAACGCAAAATGCAAACAAATGTGACCTTATTCTTTGCTCCGACAATTAAAAACAAAAGAGAGAATTTGTATGCAAACTCAGTTTTGCTGGGCTATGTCTCTTATCAACAAAAAGAGGAAATTTAGAGTTGTTTTGAGGCAACTCCATGAAGCATATTGATCATGATACCTGTAGTATGTACTTGCATGTACAACAAACCAAATAAATACCAGAAATTCAATTGCAATTTATCAATTGTTTAAAGAATTTAAAAACAAACATAACTGTCAACTCGCTGTCGATTAGTCAAAACCCGCCATTTCATGATTATATCATTTTGCAAGTAGGAAATACTTACGGTAACAAAACAAAAGAATAGAACTGTATAAGGAATGCAATATGTGACAAAAGAATAACTTACTTGAAGTATTTCAATGGTGAACCTTTGTATTGTTGGTACTCGCTAAGGACCAAACCGCAGAAAAAGACAAAGATCAAGTATTCTTCGATCGTTGGTTCAACAGAAGAAGCCATGATGCAAACACGGATGTGAATTGCAATGAATACCACTTGACTGAGTTTGTCTTTCACAAATATGACGAAAGGAGTAGTCAGGTAATCGAGGTAGCAGTCTGGTGAAAGCAAAATATCAATTACCAGTCAGTCAGGTCAACGAATTAGTCGGTCAGAAGGTTGCTCTGTGGTGGGCCAGTTAGTCAGTCAGTCATTTGGGCAATCGATCAGTCACTCACTGACCGTGGCACTTTCAATTCGTGGCTCATTCAATCGGTTGATCGGTCGATTGATGGATGGATGGATGGATGGATGGATGGATGGATGGATGGATAGGTGGATTGATTGATTGATTGATTGATTGGTGGCTATGTAGGTCGGTCGGTGGGTTGGGCAGTCAGTCAGTCAGTCAGTCAGTCAATCAATCAATCAGCCACCACTTAGTCACACAATCAATCATGAAACCACTTTCTCGCTCACTTACTATTCACCCCAAATGTCAGCCACCCGGTCAATCGGTCAGTCCCTCAGTCCCTCAGTCCCTCAGTCNGGCATATGCAATGATTGGAAGCAGAAGTGGAGCCAAAACTGTATCTATCAGAATCAACAAAAACAGCAGGCTTCGAAACTTTCCATAGGGTTTTAAAACATCGGGTAAACCAAGGTTCCACCTCATGATGAGCCGTTTGTACAATAATGGGTGTGCAACAAACTGCAGGTAAAGATCACAAATGAAGATCTACAGCGATGGATGACCTGAATTTCTTCTTTCGCTAACTATAACCGTTCTCAAAATCGATCTTCCCTGGATGTTTACTCTACTTTTAATTTATTGCACTATACTTTGTACTTGGGGCGACTGAAATCGGAATTTAAATTAATATGTGTGGAATTTGGGTCAAAATAATGGGAAAAGAGCCTACTGAACGTTAGAACCGATCTCCTGTTACCTTGATATGATTATGCAATAAAAAGTTCGATTACATAGTGTCACTCAATTGATGATATTCACAGTGGTGTCAGGATGACATAGCCTAGATTAGTTTAGATTTTCCTGCAAATGTGAGTGAGTGTTACTTTTCAGGAAAGAGCTAAAAAGAGTTCGCTTTTTAAATTAGGAATTAAAAGTGAACCATTCCTAAGTGTTTTGGGAATTTTGAATGCAAGGATTGGATTGTTAAATATAGCAGTACAATACAATCAACCGTACCTGATTGTGGTACGACGGTCGTCTAGCAAGAGTGTTCAAGGTTAGAAGATGGAAGTGAGAGAACTGTACTTACCTTTTTTTGTGAGAGGATGATTGCATCATCAGTCATGCCACTAAGCATTGAAGCATAGCGATCAACGTGTTCAGGCAAGTCCCGTATAACCACGTCCTCTTTGGCAGTCACCTGATCTATAAGCTGTACAGCGAAGTCTTCAGTCTGGTCTGCAAGCTTTTTTAAGAACTCCGTGTTCTCTGTGTAAGTCTCAGCTAACTTCAGAAGCGTGCGGTTTACCTTAGATCATTTGTTACAAAAAAACCAGAATTAATTTATGTTTAACTAAACTTACAGTGAAACCTTTCATATTATAGACACCGTCTGCACAACTGGTACTTTAACGTAATTTTTGCTCCAGAGTCAACGGTAATGATTAGTAACTCTTTGATCTTAACAAGGCCAGGGAACATGGGCGACGAACGCAATGGAACGCAATGGAATGCAATGGAATACAAAAGAATACAACGCAACGCAACGCAATGCAATGCAATGCAACGCAA